GTATATTTTTAATTTAGGCTTTTGTGGTTTTTTTTTTTTTTTTTTTGTTTTTTTTGTTTGTTTGTTTTTTTTTTTGTTTTTTTTTTAATCTTCTGTAATTTTCTTACATAAAACATTTTCCTCTGAAGGTTTCTGTTGTTTTTCTGTTCGGTAGTGGAGAGAATGTTGTGATTTCTGAATTTCCTGGGATCAATCTTCGTACTCGGCTACCCGTTTTTTTTCCATCTGAGGTTTCTCGCACAGGTTTTATCAACTGACATTAGTTTTCTTTAAACTGCCAACTGTCAGTTTTGGGTCAACTTTCTCTTTAAAGTGTTACTAAACCCACAACAGTACAATCAGTCTGTAGATGCAGTAAAGCATGCTTGTTATACTCGCTGTGGAACCTAAGGGGTTAATCCTCTGCAGTGTGTAAAAATGCTATTTGATCCTGTCTTCTCTGATCATCCCCTTCTCCCATTGTCTCCTAAATATCTCCTGATAGATCAGAAGCTTGGGGGCAAGCTGCACATGCTCAATTTGGTGTGTATTGTCTAGACAGAGGTTCTGCATCCTCCTAGAGCAGAATGAAAACTCCTCCTACAAGCTTAAACCAGTGCTCTACTGGACACTGATAGAAGTCACAAGATTGCTATATACTGCTGATGAGAAAAGGGATTTAGCAGTTTATATTTACTAAAATAATTGCATTTCCATGTTCTGTGTACTGTGGGAGAGCAGATATAGTGAATGCAGGGTCCGGGAAGACACGTCGTGTGGAGACACTCTGCACATGCTCAGTTTGGTGTGTATTGCTAGAAAGTTTTTTTTTTTTGTTTTTTTTTTTCTTCTTGGGAGAGTGCATGTGATCAGCACAGGGCCAATCAGCACTGCCCAGTCAGAGGTTCTGCATCCTCTTAGAGAAAACGCCTCCCACAAGTTTTAACCAGTGCTCTGCTGAACACTGATAGAAGTCACAAGACTGCTATATACTGCTGATGAGAAATGGTATTTAACAGTTTATATTTACTAAAATAATTAAATTTCCATGTACTGGGGGAGACCAGATATAGTGAATGCGGGGTCCGGGGAGAGAGCGGCTATGGCGAGTGCGGGGTCCGGGGAGAGAGCGGCTATGGCGAGTGCGGGGTCCGGGGGAGAGAGCGGCTATGGCGAGTGCGGGGTCCGGGGAGAGAGCGGCTATGGCGAATGCGGGGTCCGGGGAGAGAGCGGCTATGGCGAATGCGGGGTCCGGCGGAAGCGACTATGGTGAGTGCGGGGCCCAGGGAGAGAGCGGCTATGGCGAGTGCGGGGCCCGGGGAGAGAGCGGCTATGGCGAGTGCGGGGCCCGGGGAGAGAGCGGCTATGGCGAGTGCGGGGTCCAGGGTGGGAGCGGCTATGGCGAGTGCGGGGTCCGGGGAGAGCGGCTATGGCGAGTGCGGGGCCTGGGGTGGGAGCGGCTATAGCGAGTGCGGGGGGAGCGGCTATAGCGAGTGCGGGGTCCGGGGGGAGCGGCTATAGCGAGTCCGGGGGGAGCGGCTTTAATAATCAAACAAATCCTCTTACTTGCTGCTTCAAGCCATGTAGGTTGACTCCTGCAGCAGAAAATGTATGTGATGTAAGATGTTGGCCAGGCAACCAGCATTTTCAGAATGAAGAGGCATCCTCCATATTTCTCTCATGACAGACGTCCTTAACACTCATCATTACTCCCTCTGTACTGCTGACTAAAGGCACCTTTTACTTCAAATGTCAGTCCAATAAGGAATAGCTGGGACAGAAAAAGGACCAAGGGGGTGACTGGAGGGCCTGTCAAGGACTGATTAGGAATATCTGGTTGTGGGGGGGGGGAGAGAAAGATTTGAAAGAAAAGGAGAAAGATCAGTGGGAGGGTTGGCAGAAGGGCTGATGAAGAATGGGGAGAGGGGTTGAAGGACTGATACAAAGGGTGAGGGTGAAGGACTAATGAGGAAGTTAAGGGGGTGGTGGAGAAAAGAACTGATGGTCATACAGTATTAGCGGTGCTGAGACCTTCTCTTGGTGGGACAGTAATGGACGGTGCAAAGACTTTTTCCCTGGTAGGACAGTGCTGAGTTGTGGAGTTAATTGAATGGGGTGAGAAAGGATCAAGCGGGGAATACAGCAGGGACTGTTGAGGAAGATGGGGGGGGGGGGCTGCAAAACGAATAGCTGAGAAAGATCAGGGGGGAGTACAGAAACGGGATTGTGAAGGACTAATGGTGGAAGATCTTGGGTTGGACCCTTGAGGAAGATATGGGCGTAGGGGGAGAAAGAACTGACAAGGAAGATCAAGTAAATACAGAAAAGACTAATGAAGAATAGGTCAGACAGTGTCAAGTGGGGGCTGAGATCTTCTCTTTGTGGGGACAGTATTGGATGGAGCTGAGACCTTCCTCTTGGTGGGACAGTTTTGGAAAGAGCTAAGACCTTTTGTTGGTGGAACAGTATTGGATAGGGCTGAGACCTGCTCCTCATGGCACAGTATTGGATGGAGCGGAGACCTGCTCTTGGTGGGACAGTATTGGATGGAGCCGGGACCTGCTGTTGGTGGCACAGTATTGCATGGAGCGGAGACCTGCTGTTGGTGGGACAGTATTGGATGGAGCCGGGACCTGCTGTTGGTGGGACAGTATTGGATGGAGCCGGGACCTTCTGTTGGTGGGACAGTATTGGATGGAGCCGGGACCTGCTGTTGGTGGGACAGTATTGGATGGAGCCGGGACCTGCTGTTGGTGGGACAGTATTGGATGGAGCCGGGACCTGCTGTTGGTGGGACAGTATTGGATGGAACCGGGACCTGCTCTTGGAGGGACAGTATTGGATGGAGCCGGGACCTGCTTTTGGAGGGACAGTATTGGATGGAGCTGTGGCCTGCTCTTAGTGGGACAGTATTGGACGGTGCTGGGATTTTTTTTTTCGTAGGTGAACAGTATGGAATGGTCTCTTGGTGGGACAGTGCTGATATGGCGTAGAGGGAAGACTGATGAGGAAGATAAAGGGGGGGGGGGGAGGAATACACCAGGGACTGATACGGAAGATCAGGAGGTGGAGTACAGAAAGGACGGGTGAGGAAGATTTGGGATGGGGGTGGGGTAGAGGATAAAGGGACCAGTAAGGAAGGGTGGAGGGAAAGTGATCATGAGGAAGATTAGTGGAATGGGGAGAAAGAACTGATGACGATGATAATTAGGGGAATAGTAAGGATTGATGAGGAAGACCTGGGCACTAGTGAGGGAAAGTGGAGGGGGTATAATGGGGGGATAGCGATGCTTGAGGCCTACGCATGAATTTTATTGAAACCATTTGAGATCGTTAGGTTCCAGCATCTGCTGATGGCTCAATTAAAGGGACCTTTGATTATGTATTCGGATTGGTTTGAATGTCCCCGGCTCCCATTGGAGAAACATTTTCATGTATTTTCAGTACACTTTTGAGTTATTCTAATGTATTTCTGGGTCTTCTACTTCCATGAAGGTGTTTAGAGATTTGTGGCTTTGTAGAGGATTGCTGAGATAAAACCAGCTCCCCCCTGACCTTCTGCTACTGGGGAGGATACAGGCAGCAGAAGGCTCAACCCTTCACATACACTGAGCACACACGGCTGCCCTCCTGTACGTGTGACATACAGAGCACACACGGCTACTGTCCCGTACGTGTGATCTATGCAGAGCATACATGGCTGCCGTCCCGTACGTGTGATCTATGCAGAGCATACATGGCTGCCGTCCCGTACGTGTGACATACACTGAGCACACACGGCTGCCCTCCTGTACGTGTGACATACAGAGCACACACGGCTACCGTCCCGTACGTGTGATCTATGCAGAGCACACACGGCTGCCGTCCCGTACGTGTGATCTATGCAGAGCACACACGGCTGCCGTCCCGTACGTGTGATCTATGCAGAGCACACACGGCTGCCGTCCCGTACGTGTGATCTATGCAGAGCACACACGGCTGCCGTCCCGTACGTGTGATCTATGCAGAGCATACATGGCTGCCGTCCCGTACGTGTGACATACACTGAGCACACACGGCTGCCGTCCCGTATGTGTGATCTATGCAGAGCACACACGGCTGCCGTCCCGTACGTGTGACATACACTGAGCACACATGGCTGCCGTCCCGTACGTGTGATCTAGGCAGAGCACACACGGCTGCCGTCCCGTACGTGTGATCTATGCAGAGCACACATGGCTGCCGTCCCGTACGTGTGATATATGCAGAGCACACATGGCTGCCGTCCCGTACGTGTGATCTATGCAGAGCACACACGGCTGCCCTCCCGTACGTGTGATCTATGCAGAGCACACACGGCTGCCCTCCCGTACGTGTGATCTATGCAGAGCACACACGGCTGCCCTCCCGTACGTGTGATCTATGCAGAGCACACACGGCTACCCTCCCGTACGTGTGATCTATGCAGAGCACACACGGCTACCCTCCCGTACGTGTGATCTATGCAGAGCATACATGGCTGCCCTCCTGTACGTGTGACATACGCAGAGCACTCATTTTTATATCTGAAAACATTTATGACAACATTGTTCCCAAAATCCATCATGTGACCGATTGATACAGTAATCCCATCATTGAGAACAAGGTCACTTTTATTTGGAGACTCCCCCCCCCCCCCCCCCCCCCCCCCCCCCCCCCCCCCCCCGGCCACAAAATCCCACTGTGTCTTCAGGGTAATGTGTGGACAGAGGTGTGGCATTCTAAACAGGAACCAACCCTCACTGCAGCTCCTCCCCCTCCTACAATGTACACCCCCAGCTCCGCCCTAACATACTCCATGTGGCTGTACGGCATGCTTTTAGGGCTTGCTGAGTCTCACCAACAAAATAAACAGAAGGATTCCATCAACATTTCCCATGATGCCTCACCAACACCCATCACATCAGCTTGAAAGTGGTTGGAAATGTATCCCCAAATCCCACCCACGTGGCAGTGGGCGGAACCAGTCTGCTGTGAATTGCAAAGTCAGCAGGAGGCGCAGCTCACAGGACAGCCGCAGACAGGCCGGGGGCGAATAGATTGACGTTTTTGTCCTGAATCTTGTACTGGTAGATGGTGGGCCGGTCCTGGCGCTGCCGGTGGGTGATTGTCAGCTGTGGGACAAGAGAGGGGGTGTTAGGAGCTGAGCACACAACTTCCTGAGTGTCACATTCATTCCCTTCACAGATCGGGGTCACCATTGGAAGACCTTCCTTCAACCTATGGTTTTGTACTTCCTTCATTGACCAGGTTCCCAAATCTGTACACCCGCTGTGCCCGCTATGAAAAGTTCCCACCATCCCTGTGCCGAGTTCCCGGGTCTGAACACCCGCTGTGCCCATTATGAGGGGTTTCCACCATCCCTGTGCCAAATTTCCGGGTCTGTACACCCGCTGTGCCCATTATGAGGGGTTTCCACCATCCCTGTGCCAAATTTACAGGTCTGTACACTCGCTGTGCCCATTATGAGGGATTCCCACCATCCCTGTGCTGAGTTCCCTGGTCTGTTCACCTGCTGTGCCCATTATGAGGGATTCCCACCATCCCTGTGCTGAGTTCCCTGGTCTGTTCACCTGCTGTGCCCATTATGAGGGGTTCCCACCATCCTTTTGCTGAGTTCCTGGCACTATACACCCGCTGTGCCCATTATGAGGGGTTCCCACCATGCCTGTGCTGAGTCCCTGGAACTATACATCTGCTGTGCCCATTATGAGTGGTTCCCATCCAGGGGCGGACTGACAACTCATGGTGCCCCTGGGCAATAGGGGATCATGGGGCCCCTGTGTCCTTGCCCAAACTCAAGCCTATGAAAAAGGTACCAGGGGCATCTCATGGGGCCCCCTACTGACCCCAGGCAGTGCCCAAGTTTCCAAATGGTCAGTCCGCCCCTGTTCCCATCATCCCTGTGCTGAGTTCCCGGGTCTGTACACCCACTGTGCCCATTATGAGGGGTTTCCACCATCCCTGTGCTGAGTTCATGGGTCTGTACACCCACTGTGCCCAATATGAGGGGTTCCCACCATCCCTGTGCTGAGTTCCTAGGTCTGTACACCCGCTGTGTCCATTATGAGGGGTTCCCACCATCCCTGTACACAGTTCCTGGGTCTGTACACCCGCTGTGCCCATTATGAGGAGTTCCCACCATCCCTCTGCCCAAGTACACTGCTGGTATCTTCCAGAGATGCAGGAAACCAGCAGGTGGCTCCATCTATAACTGAATTATCTTTTGGGTGGACTGATCTGATAGTAGGGGGTCACCCTCACACCCCCATCCCTCCCACCAGCTCGGACATAGTCTGTCACATAAAGGATGGATGATGGAAGGTGCGCTCACCTGGCCGTGGACGTCTTTGCAGAATCCGGTTGTCAGGCCCTCAGCCTGTAGGATGAGTCCGCTCTGGTGACACAGCGTCCTCCACAGGACCTCCCCGTCCTCATCCTCCTCGTCTCTGTGCACCAAACACACCACGTCCCCCTGAAAAGCGAAAAAGAATCACCTCCTGATGTGTGGTTTGAGAATGAACTTCAGATTATCATCCAGCCCCCAATGCCTGAAACAAGTTAAGCCATACAGCCTGACTAGCCCCAGCGCACTGCCTGCTCTGCAGAGGACTGAAGGTCACATGACACTGTCCGGCTTCCAATGGGGAAACATACGATGGACGCACCTGAAGCTCGTGGCAAACGCCGGCTCTGCAGTAATGGACGAAGTCCAGGATTTGCAGCGGAGTGACGCCTAAACTGATCAACAAGCTGAGGTCATCCACGATCAGCGCGGGGCTCTTCCACTCGCCGCCTGCAGGGGGCACCAACGCTCCATAAATAAAGTCATAGAGAGGCCTCAGCTCAGCGCCGGTCCTGGAAGAGAATTTCCATTGTAAGCCGAGGATGCAAGTTTGAAGCTGTTAATGGCGATCTAAGGGGCGGGATTCTGAAAAAGCGTCTGGGACTTCTATTGTGCGTTTCCCGTGTGTAGGGCGGCTCACTGAATAGGTCACGTGATGCGCAGAATTTCACCTGTATGGTGTGAACCTAACGAGGCATTAGGCACCCTGCATGGGTGGCAGTGAAAGGGTTAAGGGGTCTGTATTAAAAAAAGTCCTTGTGCGCCAAAAACGATCGCCATATTGGTTGTAATAGGATTATCTCCTGCGACTGTCAGCTCCATCTACTGGCCACAATGCTGTATTGTCCTGAAGAAAAAAAAAAATACTGCATTATGGCCAGTAGATGGAGCTGACAGTCGCAGGAGATAATCCTATTACAAACAATATGGTGAATATATATATAGACCCCTGAGTGTGGGGATTCATTTGTTTTCCTACAAGTGAAGATTTTCACAGGTTTTATTTATAGATGGATATCATTTATTCTGAGTGTTTTCATATTTATAATGAACACAGTGGAGGGTATATATATTATTTATGTATATATCTATACAGGTCCAGGGTGGCCAAGTGGGCACCTGCTCCAGGCACTGTGTTGAAGGGGGGTGCCTAGTTGGCCGCTAATCCCGCTCCTTACTGACAGGAGTGACTGCAGTGTCACTCCTGTCAGGAGGAGTGACTGCAGTGTCACTCCTGTCAGGAGGAGTGACCGATAGATATTGCTGGAGGGAGGATTCAGCTTTCTCCTCCCTCTAGCCTGCATGCGGTGGGTGAGACTGAGAACTGTCCTCAGTGTCACTGCCACACTGCTGAGGAAAGGAGGCCGACTCTGTGCTGCTTCCTCTCTCCCTCTGCCATGTGGCATGAGGAAGGAGATGCTTTGAGTACTGATCTGCCAGTACAAGGGGGAAAGCATGGGGACACCTGATAAGGAGGACTCTATTGGGAACACCTGATGTAAAGGAGGACTCTATTGGGGACACCTGATGTAAAGGAGGACTCTATTGGGGACACCTGATGTAAAGGAGGACTCTATTGGGGACACCTGATGTAAAGGAGGACTCTATTGGGGACACCTGATGTAAAGGAGGACTCTATTGGGGACACCTGATGTAAAGGAGGACTCTATTGGGGACACCTGATGTAAAGGAGGACTCTATTGGGGACACCTGATGTAAAGGAGGACTCTACTGGGGACACCTAACGTGAAAGGGGACTCTATTGGGAACACCTGATGTAAAGGGGGACACCTGATGTAATGGAGGACTCTACAGGAGATACCTGATGTGAAGGGGGACTCTATTGGGAACACCTGATGTATTAGGGGACGCTACTGTGGACACCTGAGGTAAAGGGGGACGCCTGCTGTAGAGGACAACTCTACTGGGGACACCTGATGTGAAGGAGAACTCTATTGGGGACACCTGATGTAATAGGGGATGCTACTGGGACACCTGAGGTAAAAAAGGACTCTACTGGGGACACCTGAGGTGATGTAAAGGGGGACTCTATTCAGGACTCCACCTGGCAGGGGTGCATTTTTATATAGAGATATATATATATCCTCCACCGTGTTCATTATAAATATATAAAAAAATAAGTAATTGTGAAAGGGGACTCTATTGGGAACACCTGAGGTAAAGGACGACTCTATTTAGGGACACCTGAGGTAAAGGGGGACTCCGCCTGGCAGAGGTCTCTCTCTCTCTCTCTCATATTCAGAGCTGATCTCCCTCTTTGTACCCTTCGGGTGTTCCTCCATCAGTGAATCCCCCATCTACAGATGACACATTGTATACATTATATATACTCAGCCGACACATTGTATACAGTGAGGAACAGAAGTATTTGAACCCCCTGCGATTTTGCAAGTTCTCCCACTTCTCCATCATGGAGGGTCTGACATTCACATTGCAGGACATTCCCACTCTGAGGACAGAATTCAGGAGATCACATTGTATGATTTGTAAAGAATGTATTTGTCTCGCACGGCTGAACAGAAGTATTTGAACACCTAAGAAACAGCAAGAATTCTGCCTCTCAAAGACCTGTTACTGCGCCTTAAAAAGTCCACCTCTATTCCACTCATTCATCTAACTTAGTAGCACCTGTCTGAGCTCTATAAAGACACCTGTCCACCCCACAGTCAGTCAGACGCCAACTACTACCATGGGCAAGAACAAAGAGCTGTCAAAAGACACCAGAGACAAAATTGTGGACCTCCACAAGGCTGGAAAGGGCTACGGGGCAATTGCCAAGCAGCTTGGTGAAAAGAGATCAACGGTTGGAGCAATTGTTAGGAAATAGAAGAGGCTAAAGACGACTGTCAGTCTCCCTCGGACTGGGGCTCCATGCAAGATGTCACCTCGTGGGGTATCACTGATGAGAAGAAAGGTGAGGTATCAGCCCAGAACTACAAGGGAGGAGCCGGTCAATGACATGAAGAGAGCTGGGGCCACAGTTTCACAGGTCACTGTCGGTAGAACACTAAGCCATCATGGTTTCCAATCATGCATTGCACGGAAGGTTCCCCTGCTCCAGTCATCACATGTCCAGGCCGGCTGAAGGTTCCCCTGCTCCAGTCATCACATGTCCAGGCCGGCTGAAGGTTCCCCTGCTCCAGTCCTCACATGTCCAGGCCCGTCTGAAGGTTCCCCTGCTCCAGTCATCACATGTCCAGGCCCGTCTGAAGGTTCCCTGCTCCAGTCATCACATGTCCAGGCCCGTCTGAAGGTTCCCCTGCTCCAGTCATCACATGTCCAGGCCCGTCTGAAGGTTCCCCTGCTCCAGTCATCACATGTCCAGGCCCGTCTGAAGGTTCCCCTGCTCCAGTCATCACATGTCCAGGCCCGTCTGAAGGTTGCCAATGACCATCTGGATGATGCAGAGGAGGCACGGGAGAAAGTCATGTGGTCAGATGAGACCAAAGTAGAACTTTTTGGTCTAAACTTCACTCGTCGTGTTTGGAGGAAAAAGGATGAGTTGCATCCCAAGAACACCATCCCTACTGTGAAGCATGGGGGTGGTAACATCATGCTTTGGGGTGCTTTTTCTGCGAAGGGGACAGGACGACTGCACTGTATTAAGGAGAGGATGAATGGGGCCATTTATTGTGAGATTTTCAGCAACAACCTCCTTCCCTCAGTCAGAGCATTGAAGATGGGTCGTGGTTGGGTCTTCCAACATGACAACGACCCGAAGCACACAGCCAGGAGAACCAAGGAGTGGCTCCGTAAGAAGCATATCGAGGTTCTGGAGTGGCCTAGCCAGTCTCCACACCTAAATCCAATAGAACATCTTTGGAGGGAGCTGAAACTCCGTGTTGCTCAGCAACAGCCCCGAAACCTGACAGATCTAGAGGAGATCGGTGTGGAGGAGTCGGCCAAAATCCCTGTTGCAGTGCAAACCTGGCCAAGGACTACAGGAGACGTCTGACCTCTGTAATTGCAGACAAAGGCTTCTGTACCAAATATTAACACGGATCTTCTCAGGGGTTCAAATACTTCTGTTCAGCCGTGCGAGACAAATACATTCTTTACAAATCATACAATGTGATCTCCTGAATTCTGTCCTCAGAGTGGGAATCCCCTCCAATGTGAATGTCAGACCCTCCATGATGGAGAAGTGGGAGAACTTGCAGAATCGCAGGGGGTTCAAATACTTCTGTTCCTCACTGTATATACTCAGAGCAGACACATGGTCAGAACCTGTACTGGCACCCTCGTACAGCCAGGGGGCGCTGCAAGCACCAGCTGTACGGTGGTGGATGACACTGCGTGCTGCGCACTTTTGAACGCACGTTGTCACAATGTTGGGCTGTGAAGCCGCCCTGAAGGCGCTCTCAGGTGAGTCCAATGAAAAAAAAAAAACCTACGACACTCAGATACATCTGGAAGCGGAGACGTCACTGACCTCAGGAACCGCAGAGGATTATGGGAATCAGCCTCCGGCGTCTCAGGAAATAACAGGCTGCTGTAAGATTTCAGCCCCTCCAGGAAGACCAACTGCCCCTCATCCCGAGCGCCGGCCAGGTTCACCCCCTGCAAGGAGAAGGAGCGGGGGAGGGTGAGTTCTGTATAAATCACCATCGATCGAATCTACATAAATACCATCTTCCCCTCCCCCGCTGATCGATAGGCAATTAAACATCGTTCAATCGATTTCATTTACAGGAAATACCTTGCGCCCCAGTGATGTCATCGGTCTGCTGGCCTTAGCGGAGTTCTGTTGGGAGGGGTCAGAAGGCTCCTGTAAAATGTCATCCTACCTGGAGCCCTAAATGAAAGAACACATTCCTGGCAACCCTTTAGATGTGCATGCTCCTCCCTGCTGGCCACTGAGTGCTGCAGACTTTAGTTGTGCAATCTGTTGATCAGTTGATTGATTACACTGAGACAGAATGATCAGCAGATTGCACAGCTAAAGTCTGCAGCATCTCATGGCCAGCAGGGAGGAGTATGCACGTCTAGAGGGATGCCAGAGATGTGTTCTTTCATATAACGCTCTGGAAAAGCAGCTCATTGACTTCTGCCAGCCTTAAAGCTCACACAATAATGACTGATGGCAGGAAAAGCCAAAAGCTGTGAGTCTGTAGCATCTAGTGGCCAGCAGGGAAGAGCATGCACGTCTAAAGGGATGCCAGAGATGTGATCTATTCTTTAGGGAGGGGCAGTACAATGACCTACAGGGACCCTAAAGATCCCCCACACATGACAGAGCAAAAATGATTGATGGCAGAGGAAGCTAACAGTGAGAGAGGGCCAATGACAGAAGAGATCAGGAGGAGAAGGGGCGGGTGTTGATGTCCGGTTCTGGGAGGAGCAACCTGAGGATCACTTACCAACTTCTGTGCAATGAGATTATAATGACTGAATGACTGCGCCAGAGCCACGAAGCACACCTTCCTCCGAGCTGGGGAGACAACATCACACATCAATATGGCTCTGACATATACCGCAGCGCTGTACAGAGATCACTGAGCCAGTCACATCAGTCTCTGTACCACAGGAGCTTACACTCTAATGTCCCCGCCCCCACAGTCACATCAGTCTCTGTACCACAGGAGCTTACACTCTAATGTCCCCTCCCCCACAGTCACATCAGTCTCTGTACCAGAGGAGCTTACACTCTAATGTCCCCTCCCCCACAGTCACATCAGTCTCTGCACCAGAGGAGCTGACACTCTAATGTCCCCGCCCCCACAGTCACATCAGTCTCTGTACCAGAGGAGCTTACACTCTATTGTCCCCTCCCCCGCAGTCACATCAGTCTCTGCACCAGAGGAGCTGACACTCTAATGTCCCCGCCCCCACAGTCACATCAGTCTCTGTACCAGAGGAGCTTACACTCTATTGTCCCCTCCCCCGCAGTCACATCAGTCTCTGCACCAGAGGAGCTGACACTCTAATGTCCCCTCCCCCACAGTCACATCAGTCTCTGTACCAGAGGAGCTTACACTCTAATGCCCCCTCCCCCACAGTCCCATCAGTCTCTGCACCAGAGGAGCTTACACTCTAATGTCACACACAATTATAATGTGTAGCGGTCGGGAGGTCGCTCAGGCGGTCCGGGCAGTGTGGGGGGGTCGCTCTGGCAGTCCGGGCAGTGCGGGGGGGTCGCTCTGGCAGTCCGGGCAGTGCGGGGGGCGGGCGCTCTGGCGGTCCGTGCCGTGCGGGGGGGCGCTCTGGCGGTTCGGGCAGTGCGGGGGGTGCTCTGGCGGTCCGTGCGGGGGCGCTCTGGCGGTCCGGGCAGTGCGGGGGGGTCGCTCTGGCGGTCCGGGCAGTGCGGGGGGGGGGTCGCTCTGGCGGTCCGGGCAGTGTAGGGGGGGGGTTCGCTCAGGCGGTCCGGGCAGTGCAGGGGGTCACTCCGGCGGTATGTGCAGTGCAGGGGGGGGTCGCTCCGGCGGTATGTGCAGTGCAGGGGGGGGTCGCTCCGGCGGTCCGGGCAGTGGGGGGGGGGGGGGGTCGCTCCGGCGGTCCGGGCAGTGCAGGGGGGGGGGGGGTCGCTCCGGCGGTCCGGGCAGTGCAGGGGGGGGGGGGGGCGCTCTGGCGGTCCGTGCTGTGCGGGGGGTCGCTCTGGCGGTCCGGGCAGTGTAGGGGGGGGGTCGCTCTGGCGGTCCGGGCAGTGCGGGGGGGTCGCTCTGGCGGTCCGGGCAGTGTAGGGGGGGGGGGGGTTCGCTCAGGCGGTCCGGGCAGTGCAGGGGGTCACTCCGGCGGTATGTGCAGTGCAGGGGGGGGGTCGCTCCGGCGGTATGTGCAGTGCAGGGGGGGGTCGCTCCGGCGGTCCGGGCAGTGCAGGGGGGGGGGTCGCTCCGGCGGTCCGGGCAGTGCAGGGGGGGGGGGGTCGCTCCGGCGGTCCGGGCAGTGCAGGGGGGGGGGCGCTCTGGCGGTCCGTGCTGTGCGGGGGGGTTGCTCTGGCGGTCCGGGCAGTGTAGGGGGGGGCGCTCTGGCGGTCCGGGCAGTGTAGGGGGGGGGCGCTCTGGCGGTCCGGGCAGTGTAGGGGGGGGAGTCGCTCTGGCGGTCCGGGCAGTGTAGGGGGGGGAGTCGCTCTGGCGGTCCGGGCAGTGTAGGGGGGGGAGTCGCTCTGGCGGTCCGGGCAGTGCAGGGGGGGGGGAGTCGCTCTGGCGGTCCGGGCAGTGCAGGGGGGGGGGGGGGGAGTCGCTCTGGCGGTCCGGGCAGTGCAGGGGGGGGGGAGTCGCTCTGGCGGTCCGGGCAGTGCAGGGGGGGGAGTCGCTCTGGCGGTCCGGGCAGTGCAGGGGGGGGAGTCGCTCTGGCGGTCCGGGCAGTGCAGGGGGGGGAGTCGCTCTGGCGGTCCGGGCAGTGCAGGGGGGGGAGTCGCTCTGGCGGTCCGGGCAGTGCAGGGGGGGGAGTCGCTCTGGCGGTCCGGGCAGTGCAGGGGTGGGAGTCGCTCTGGCGGTCCGGGCAGTGCAGGGGTGGGAGTCGCTCTGGCGGTCCGGGCAGTGCAGGGGGTCACTCCGGCGGTTTGTGCAGTGCAGGGGGGGGTCGCTCCGGCGGTATGGGCAGTGCAGGGGGGGGGTCGCTCCGGCGGTCCGGGCAGTGCAGGGGGGGGGGTCGCTCCGGCGGTCCGGGCAGTGCAGGGGGGGGGGTCGCTCCGGCGGTCCGGGCAGTGTAGGGGGGGGGGCGCTCTGGCGGTTCGTGCCGTGTGGGGGGGGGGGGGGTCGCTCTGGCGGTCCGGGCAGTGCGGGGGGGGTCACTCTGGCGGTCCGGGCAGTGCGGGGGGGGGGTCACTCTGGCGGTCCGGGCAGTGTAGGGGGGGGGGGGGGGGTCGCTCTGGCGGTCCGGGCAGTGTAGGGGGGGGTGTCGCTCTGGCGGTCCGGGCAGTGTGTGTGGGGGGGGGGGTCGCTCTGGCGGCCCGTGCTGTGTGGGGGGGGTCGCTCTGGCGGCCCGTGCCGTGTGGGGGGGGGGGGGGGTCGCTCTGGCGGCCCGTGCCGTGTGGGGAGGGGGGTCGCTCTGGCGGTCCGTGCCGTGTGGGGGGGGTCGCTCTGGCGGTCCGTGCCGTGTGGGGGGGGTCGCTCTGGCGGTCCGTGCCGTGTGGGGAGGGGGGTCGCTCTGGCGGTCCGTGCCGTGTGGGGAGGGGGGGGGGGGTCGCTCTGGCGGTCCGTGCTGTGTGGGGAGGGGGGGGGGGGGGGTCGCTCTGGCGGTCCGTGCCGGGGGGGGGGGGGGGGGGGGGGGGGGGGGGGGGGTCACTCTGGCGGTCCGTGCCGTGGGGGGGAGGACTCAGACGGGTGACACACTTACATTTCAGGTAGTAGGACAGGAAGTGATGTATCAGGAAGCTGCCGTCCGTCCTCCAATCACTGATCAGCGTGAACTGCCGCTAAAGGACAGAAAGATGTCAGACGGGGAGATGAGGACATTAGAGGTCACATGACTGTCTGTGTCCCCAGTGGGGAGATTTCCCTTCACTTCCTGTCTGGGTGACAACCGGAAATGAGAGAATCTCTCCAGAGTGAGGGAAGCCCCCTCCCCAGATCAGGTGTCCCCATTGGAAGATTCCCCCCATTTCCTGTTCTAGTGACACCACACTATTACAGAGCATGAATCTCTCCAGCGGGGACACAGGGGGCAGTAAAATCCTGACAGATGTTCTTCGCCCTCCCCCACACACTGACATGTAAAGGAATGCCATTATCCTCTGACTTCACTGGCTGCATGCTTGTCCAGGGATACAAAACCCATGAACAGCCAGGCAGGGAACATTTCCAGGACCCCTCCCATGGCGGAATGTGAGGGTCAGGTATACAGGAGGCGTCCATGTTTCCAACCCCCCCCCCCCTCCCCATTAACTTTTCCTGCTCTGTGATTGGATGTACACTGTGGTTGTTCAGAACAGGTGCCGACTGCACTGTCATCCTAAAAGAGAGATCAACAGAGCAGGGCAGTTATCCATAGCAACCAGAGGAAAGTGGAGGAGGTTGGTTACCCATAGCAACCAGAGGAGGGTGAGGAGCAGTTACCCATAGCAACCAGTGAGTGAGGTGATTGCCCATAGCAACCAGAGGAGGGTGGATGGGGTGGGTTACCCATAGCAACCAGATGAAAGTGGAGGGGGGGGGGGCAGTTACTCATAGCAACCAGAGGGTGGGGAGCGGTTACCGATAGCAACCAGAGGAGAGTGGTTACCCATAGCAACCAGAGGAGGGTGGGTGGTGTGGTTACCCATAGCAACCAGATGAAAGTGGAGGAGCGAGGGGCAGTTACCCATAGCAACCAGAGGGTGGGCGGGGAACAGTTACCCATAGCAACCAATCAGTGAAGAGTGGATGGGGTAAACCATAGCAACAAACCAGCCTCCTTTGCTCGGTGAATTCTGATTGGTGTGCGAGCAAGCAGGTAAAAGGGGGGTGGGGTCAGCTAGAAAGGCCCCGCCCCCTCCCCCGGTCCGGTCTCTCACCCGCTCTGGGCTCAGCGCGCTCTGAAGCTCCGGGAACATCTCGGCCGGTCGCGTGATCCTCACTTCCGGCTAAAAAGCCGCCGGGGGCGGGACTTCTGGTGCCGCCATCTTGTGGTTGGTGCTGAGGTACAAACCGCCAGGGGGAGACAGAGGCCGAGACACGTAGCGGATCACCATGACACCCGGATAGAAGCATCTCCATGACAACCAGACAGATCACCAAGGTAACCAGATAGACAGATCCACCATGACAGCCAGGCAGGTAGCATCTCCAGAGCAGCCAGTCATGTCCTGGTTGGGAAAGACTTCAGTTATTATTATTATACAGGATTTATGGCGCCAACAGTTTGCTCAGCACTTTATAACGGGAGACAATACAGTTCAATATAAGAGGGATAGGAGGGCCTGATCCTAGGAGCTTACAATCTAGGAGGGAGGGGCTAGTGGTGCAAAAGGTAGTAACTGTGGGGGATGGACTGGTGGGAGGAATAGAAGATTCCAGTATTAGCTGAGGGCAGGATAGGCTTCCCTGAACAGAGGTTTTCAGAGATCTCCTAAAAGTGAGCAGAGTAGGCGATAGTATGATAGATTGGGGTAGAGAGTTCCAGAGGATGGGGGAAGCTCTGGAGAAGTCCTGGAGACGAGCATGGGAGGAGGAGACAAGGGAGCTAGAGAGTAGGAGGTCTTGCGAGGAGCGGAGAGTACGGTTTGGGTGATATTTAGAGACAAGATCAGTGATGTAATTTGGGGCGGAGTTATAAATGTCTTTATACGTTATTGTTATTGTTTTGAATTTTATCCGTTGGGCAATGGGAAGCCAGTGGAGGGATTGGCAGAGAGGGGTGGAGGACACTGAATGGAGGCCAGTGGAGGGATTGGCAGAGAGGGGTGGAGGACACTGAGCGGAGGCCAGTGGAGGGATTGGCAGAGAGGGGTGGAGGACACTGAGCGGAGGTCAGTGGAGGGATTGGCAGAGAGGGGTGGAGGACACTGAGCGGAGGTCAGTGGAGGGATTGGAGAGAGGGGTGGAGGACACTGAGCGGAGGCCTCTCCCCCCAATCTTCTCATGGTGCCCCCTCACCTCACACAGTGATACCACAGTGCCCAGGGCAGCCACCCCTCCTGCCCACCCCTTGTCCCGGCCCCGCCCTATAGCAAGAGGGAATGGAGAGGAGGTGGTGGCCATTGGCTGGGATGAGTACGGCGTAGAGGCCATTGGTTGGGATGAGTACGGAGTAGTGGCCATTGGTTAGGATGAGTACAAAGTAGTGGCCATTGGTTGGGATGAGTACGGAGTAGAGGCCATTGGTTGGGATGAGTACGGTGTAGAGGCCATTGGTTGGGATGAGTTCGGAGTAGAGGCCATTGGTTAGGATGAGTACGGAGTAGTGACCATTGGTTGGGATGAGTACGGAGTAGTGGCCATTGGTTAGGATGAGTTCGGAGTAGAGGCCATTGGTTAGGATGAGTACGGAGTAGTGGCCATTGGTTGGGATGAGTGCGGAGTAGTGGCCATTGGTTGGGATGAGTGCGCAGTAGTGGCCATTGGTTGGGATGAGTGCGGAGTAGTGGCCATTGGTTGGGATGAGTGCGCAGTAGTGGCCATTGGTTGGGATGAGTGCGGAGTAGTGGCCATTGGTTGGGATGAGTGCGCAGTAGTGGCCATTGGTTGGGATGAGTACGGAGTAGTGGCCATTGGTTAGGATGAGTGCGGAGTAGTGGCCATTGGTTGGGATGAGTGCGGAGTAGTGGCCGTCGGTTGGGATGAGTACGGAGTAGTGGCCGTCGGTTGGGATGAGTACGGAGTAGTGGCCATCGGTTGGGATGAGTACGGAGTAGTGGCCGTCGGTTGGGATGAGTACGGAGTAGTGGTCGTCGGTTGGGATGAGTACGGAGTAGTGGCCGTCGGTTGGGATGAGTACGGAGTAGTGGCCGTCGGTTGGGATGAGTACGGAGTAGTGGCCGTCGGTTGGGATGAGTACGGAGTAGTGGCCGTCGGTTGGGATGAGTACGGGAGTAGTGGCCGTCGGTTGGGATGAGTACGGAGTAGTGGCCGTCGGTTGGGATGAGTACGGAGTAGTGACCGTCGGTTGGGATGAGTACGGAGTAGTGGCCGTCGGTTGGGATGAGTACGGAGTAGTGGCCGTCGGTTGGGATGAGTACGGAGTAGTGGCCGTCGGTTGGGATGAGTACGGAGTAGTGGCCGTTGGTTGGGATGAGTACGGAGTAGTGGCCGTTGGTTGGGATGAGTACGGAGTAGTGGCCGTTGGTTGGGATGAGTACGGAGTAGTGACCGTTGGTTGGGATGAGTACGGAGTAGTGGCCGTTGGTTGGGATGAGTACGGAGTAGTGACCATTGGTTGGGATGAGTACGGAGTAGTGGCCATTGGTTGGGATGATGACGGAGTAGTGGCCATTGGTTGGGATGATTACGGAGTAGTGACCATTGGTTGGGATAAGTACGGAGTAGTGACCATTGGTTGGGATGAGTACGGAGTAGTGACCATTGGTTGGGATGAGTACGGAGTAGTGTGACCATTGGTTGGGATGATTACGGAGTAGTGACCATTGGTTGGGATGAGTACGGAGTAGTGACCATTGGTTGGGATGAGTACGGAGAGTAGTGACCATTGGTTGGGATAAGTACGGAGTAGTGACCATTGGTTGGGATGATTACGGAGTAGTGACCATTGGTTGGGATGAGTACGGAGTAGTGACCATTGGTTGGGATAAGTACGGAGTAGTGGCCATTGGTTGGGATGAGTACGGAGTAGTGGCCATTGGTTGGGATAAGTACGGAGTAGTGACCATTGGTTGGGATAAGTACGGAGTAGTGACCATTGGTTGGGATGAGTACGGAGTAGTGACCATTGGTTGGGATGAGTACAGAGTAGTGACCATTGGTTGGGATGAGTACGGAGTAGTGACCATTGGTTGGGATGATTACGGAGTAGTGGCCATTGGTTTTAGCAATTAGTAAATCATTAGTCACTTCAGTGACAGAGAAGCTGTACTGAGAAACTTTTGATATCCCTGGGGCCTAGCTGTCATTCTCATCCTCCAGCTCTCTGATGGATGAATCCAGAACAGCTCTGTGGCGATTGGACTTCACTGGCCACATGCTTCAATCACCCAGATAATGATGAAACAGAGGATGAACATGACAGCCAGGCAACAAACATTTCCAGAACCAAGCTGACAGTGACTGCCCCCCATAATTCAGGCAGCTACCGATCTGTCTGCACCTGGCTGGTGGTACAACACCGCATGTCTATGTCTTCATTGGATATTGTGGGTCAGGTGATGTCAGAGCGCCTTCATTGGACACTGTGGGTCAGGTGACATGGGAACACATCCATTGGACGCAGGGAGTCAGGTGATGTTTGAGCGACACATTGGACACCAGGGTGCAGGTGATGTGAGAGATTCATCATTGGACACAGGAGGTCAGGTGATGTGGCAGCACCTTCATTGGACACCAGGGGACAGGTGATGTGGGAGCGCTTTCATTAGAAACCAGGGGTCAGGTGATGTTGGAACGCCATCATTGGACATCGGGGGGTCAGGTGATGTTGGAACGCCATCATTGGACATCGGGGGGTCGGATGATGTCAGAGCACCTTCACTGGACACCATGAGTCATGTGATGTGGGATCCCCTTCATTGGAAACCAGGGATAAGGTGATGTCAGGGCACCTTCATTGGACACCGGGGGGTCAGGTGGTGTGGGAGCCCCTTCATTGAACACCAGGGGTCAGATGATGTGGGAGCCCTTTCATTGTACACAAGGAGTCAGGTGATGTCAGAGCGCCTTCATTTGACACCGGGGGTCAGGAGATGTAGGAGCCCCTTCATTCAACACTGTGGGTCAGGTAATGTGGGAGCCACTTTATTGGACACCGTGGGTCAGGTAATGTGGGAGCCCTTTCATTGGACACCGAGAGTCAGGAGATGTAGGAAGCCCTTCATTGAAACACCGTGGGTCAGGTGATGTGGGACCCACTTTATTGGACACACCGTGGGTCAGGTGATGTGGGAGCCACTTTATTGGACACCGTGGGTCAGGTGATGTGGGAGCCACTTTATTGGACACTGGGGGTCAGGTGATGTTGTAACCCCTTCATTGGACACTGTGGGTCAGGTGATGTCAGAGCACCTTCATTAGACACTGGGAGTAAGGTGATGTAGGAGCCACTTTATTGGACACAAGGGATCAGGTGATGTCAGAGCGCTTTCATTAGACACCAGGGGTCAGGTGATGTTGGAACGCCATCATTGGACATCGGGGGGGTCAGGTGATGTGGGAGCGCCTTCATTGGACATCGGGGGGTCAGGTGATGTGGGAGCGCCTTCATTGGACATCAGGGAGTCAGGTGATGTGGGAGCGCCTTCATTAGAGACCAGGGGTCAGGTGATGTTGGAACGCCATCATTGGACATCGGGTGGTCAGGTGATGTTGGAACGCCATCATTGGACATCGGGGGGTCAGGTGATGTTGGAACGCCATCATTGGACATCGGGGGGTCAGGTGATGTTGGAACACCATCATTGGACATTGGGGGGTCAGGTGATGTTGGAACGCCATCATTGGACATTGGGGGGTCAGGTGATGTTGGAACACCATCATTGGATATCGGGGGGTCAGGTGATTTTAGAACGCCATCATTGGACATCGGGGGGGTCAGATGATGTGGGAGCGCCTTCATTGGACATCGGGGGGTCAGGTGATGTGGGAGCACCTTCATTAGAGACCAGGGGTCAGGTGATGTTGGAACGCCATCATTGGACATCGGGGGGGTCAGATGATGTGGGAGCGCCTTCATTGGACATCGGGGGGGTCAGATGATGTGGGAGCGCCTTCATTGGAGACCAGGGGTCAGGTGATGTTGGAACGCCATCATTGGACATCGGGGGGTCAGGTGATGTTGGAACGCCATCATTGGACATCGGGGGGTCAGGTGATGTTGGAACACCATCATTGGACATCGGGGGCTCAGGTGATGTGGGAGCACCTTCAGTGGAGAGTAGAGGGAAGTGTAATGTGCTCAGGGGCTACATGGGGGGGGTTAATAGAAAATGTTCCTGGAGGTGAATGAACCCTTTATATCACTTTCACCGGGAGTATTCACCGGCTGTATACACATTTCTCGGAATCAGGTGACACTTTTATTCCTGGAACGGTGTCTGCACTTTGTTGTAACACATAGAAGTGACACGCGGGGGGGGGCGACATCACACCTGATCCCCGGAGAGCAGGGAAGGTCGTCTGAGGATGCGGCACACAGACGATAATTATAGGCTCCAACGACTCTTTGGGGTTCTTCTTAAAGCAGACCTAAAAAAATGGATTGCGCCCCCCAACCCCCACCTCCCAAGCCAAAACCCTTCATCCCAGGTGCCACCTCCTCCTCCCTTCATAAGCCACAGCAGAGAAATGAAGATGTAGGAGGCGGAGGCGGAGCCAGCCTGAGGGGGCGTTGTCCTCTTTGTACATATCTGTCCTCTGTTATCTTCAGGATAAATTCATTTATTTTTCAATCCTGGAGGAGTTGTACCGACTTGACTGGCAGGGAGATCAGACTACACAGCCTGCAAATGGATTCACATGGGAGGGACTAACCCCGCCCTCTTCTCTCATTGGGATATTAGCCTTCAGGAGAGAACAGTCCTACAAATCTTTGGTGTTAGTGGGATAGTGGATCCCAAACGGGAGGTTGTGGCCCGGCAGAAGGGAGGCTGTGGCCCAGCAAAAGGGTAATTGTGGCCCAGGAGGAGGCAGGCTGCAGCTCAGCGGGATGGAGGACATAGCCTGATAAGAGTGATACTATGGTGCGGCAGGAGGGAGGCTGTGGCCCAGCAGGAGGGAGGTTTTCACCTGGCAGTAGGAAGACTATGACCTGGCAGGGGGGAGGCATCGGCCCGGCAGGGGGGAGGTTGTGAACCAACAGGAGGGAGGCTGTGGCCCGGCAGGAGGGAGGTTGTGATCTGGTAGGAGGGAGGCTGTGGCCCGGAAAAAATGGAAGCTGTGACGGAGCAGGAGGGAGGCTGTGACCTGGCAGGAGGGAGGCTGTGGCTCAGCAGGAGGGAGGTTTTGACCTGGCAGTAGGAAGGCTAAGACCTTGCAAGAGGGAGGCTTCGGCCCGGCAGGGGGGAGGTTGTGAACCAACAGGAGGGAGGCTGTGGCCCGGCAGGAGGGAGGCTGTGATCTGGCAGTGGGCAGGCTGTGGCCCAGCAGGAGGGAGGCTGTGGCCCGGAAGGGAGAGGTTGTGAACCAACAGGAGGGAGGCTGTGGCCCAGCAGGAGGGAGGCTGTGGCCCAGCAGGAGGGAGGCTGTGGCCCAGCAGGAGGTAGGTTGTGGTCCTGCATGAGGGAGGCTGTGACCCAGCAGGAGGGAGGCCGAGACCAGGCAGAAGGGAGGTTGTGGCCCAGCAGGAGGGAGGCTGTGGCCTGGCAGTAGGAAGGCTATGAGCTGGCATGAGGTAGGCTGTGGCCCAGCAGGAGGGAGGTTTTGAACCAGCAGGAGGGAGTCTGTGATTGGGCAGAAAGAAGGCTGTGGCCTGGCAGGAGGGAGGCTGTGGCCTAGCAGGAGGGAGGGTTTGAACCGACAGGAGGGAGCCGTGATTGGGCAGAAGGAAGGCCGTGGCCTGGCAGGAGGGAGACTGTGGCCTAGCAGGAGGCAGGGTTTGAACCGGCAGGAGGGAGGCTGTGATTGGACAGAAGAAAGGCTGTGGCCTGGCTGGAGGGAGGCTGTGATTGGACAGAAGGAAGGCTGTGGCCTGCCAGGAGGGAGATTGTAGTCCAGCAGGAGGGGGACTGTGGCCCTTCTGGTACTGGTGGTGATACTTCCAGATCCTGTAGGATGTATCAGATACTGACAATGAACACTTAGTGTCCCGGATTTGTGAAGGAAGCCATCATACACCAGTACTGGATCCTCTGACCCCGTGTGACCTCTACACTGACCTCTGACCTCCAGCATGGAATTGTACGAAATGCTAGTTATTCTGGGGTGACGCTGCCGGACAGTCAGTGGATTCTCCTGGAGCCTCCCGGCCAGAACGCGTCTGTCGGTATAAATCTGAGATGTAACGAAGCATCCTAATCTAATAATGGCGTCCGGGACTCAGCGCAGTGAAGACAGAGAGGTCCGGGAAGCGTTTCTGACATCGGAGCGAAGTGTACTGACCCGGCACAGACCTGATCCAGCCTTCCACACAAGGATGGAGAAGATCGGCGACTCGGGAACATTTCTGGCCCAGACCTGAATGTTCCATTATGATAAAACTCTGATTCTGGGGGGAAGGATTTTCCTGCACACAGCTAACTTCCTGCCAGAGCAGCAGGAGTGGCCACCCTCTCATTGGGGAGATTGTCTTCTACTTCCTGTTCCTGTGACACCTATGCATGAAATGTGGGAGAGGGGCAGCAGTTGTCACCGGGACAGGTATATGAACATTGTCAGACCTTGTGCCCCCTCCCCCTCTTCACTAACAATGTGTCTTTGTGTCCCCTTTGGTGAGATTTCCTATCACTTCCTGTTCTGACAAGGGACACCAGCAATAGTAATGCTCTTTCCTGCTCCATCCTAAATGACAGAAAAAGTGGAGTTGGACTTTAAGGAACATCTCCACTTTTTAATTAAAAAGGATACACTATATTGCCAAAAATATTGGCCCCACCCTCCAAATCATGTGATTCAGGTGTTCCAATCCCCTCCAAATCATGTGATTCAGGTGTTCCAATCCCCTCCATATCATGTGATTCAGGTGTTCCAATCCCCTCCATATCATGTGATTCAGGTGTTCCAATCCCCTCCATATCATGTGATTCAGGTGTTCCAATCCCCTCCAAATCATGTGATTCAGGTGTTCCAATCCCCTCCAAATCATGTGATTCAGGTATTCCAATCCCATCCATATCATGTGATTCAGGTGTTCCAATCCCCTCCATATCATGTGATTCAGGTGTTCCAATCCCCTCCAAATCATGTGATTCAGGTGTTCCAATCCCCTCCATATCATGTGATTCAGGTGTTCCAATCCCCTCCATATCATGTGATTCAGGTGTTCCAATCACCTCCATGGACACAGGAGTATACAATCAAGCCCCTAGGTTCCTGGCTACTAAATATTCCACCCTCAACTGTTAGTGGGATTATAACAAAATGGAAGCAACTGGGAACAACAGACACTCAGCCATTAAGTGGTAGGCCACGTCACATGACAGGGCGGGGTCAGCATGCTGAAGCGCACAGTGCGCAGAAGTCGCCAACTGTGTGCAGAGTCAATAGCTAAAGACCTCCAAACTTGGTGTGGCCTTCAGATGAGCCCAACAATAGTGCGTAGAGAGCTCCATGGAATGGGTTTCCATGGCCGAGCAGCTGCATCCAAGCCTTTCATCACCAAGCGCAATGCAAAGCGTCGGATGCCGTGGTGTAAAGCACGCTGCCACCGGACTCTAGAACAGGGGAAACGTGTTCTCTGGAGTGACCAATCACGCTTCTCTGTCTGGCAATCCGATGGACGTGTCTGGGTTTGGCAGTTGCCAGGAGAACGGTACTTGCCTGACTGCATTGTGCCAAGTGTAAAGTTTGGTGGAGGGGGGATTACGGTGTGGGGGTGTTTTTCAGTGGTTGGGCTTGGCCCCCTAGTTCCAGTGAAGGGAACTCTTAAGGCGACATTTTGGACAATTTCATGCTCCCAACTTTGTGGAAGGAGTTTGGGGATGGCCCCTTCCTGTTCCAACATGACTGCGCACCAGTGCACAAAGCAAGGTCTATAAAGACATGGAGGAGCCAGTTTGGGGTGGAGGAACTTGACTGTCCTGCACAGAGTCCTGACCTCAACCCCATAGAACACCTTTGGGATGAATTAGACCGGAGACTGCGAGCCAGGCCTCCTCCCCCGACATCAGTGCCTGACCTGACAAATGTGCTTCTGGAAGAATGGTCCAACCTTCCCATAGACACCCTCCTAAACCTTGTGGACGGCCTTCCCAGAAGAGTTGAAGCTGTTATAGCTGCAAAGGGCGGGGCCAACTCAATATTGAACCCTACGGACTAAGACTGGGGTGCCATTTAAGGTCATGTGTGTGGAAAGGCCGGCAAACTCAATATTGAACCCTACGGACTAAGACTGGGAGGCCATTAAAGGTCATGTGTGTGGGAAGGGCGGGGCCAACTCAATATTGAACCCTACGGACTAAGACTGGGGGGCCATTCAAGGTCATGTGCGTGGAAAGGGCGGGGTCAACTCAATATTGAACCCTACGGACTAAGACTGGGGGGCCATTAAGGGTCATGTGCGTGGAAAGGGCGGGGTCAACTCAATATTGAACCCTACGGACTAAGACTGGGGGGCCATTAAGGGTCATGTGCGTGGAAAGGGTGGGGCCAACTCAATATTGAACCCTACGGACTAAGACTGGGGGGCCATTAAGGGTCATGTGCGTGGAAAGGGCGGGGTCAACTCAATATTGAACCCTACGGACTAAGACTGGGGGGCCATTAAGGGTCATGTGCGTGGAAAGGGCGGGGCCAACTCAATATTGAACCCTACGGACTAAGACTGGGAGGCCATTAAGGGTCCTGTCACACTGGACCCATTTAGGGGATCCGCTTTCTCAGCGGGGAATCTCTCCGCTGATCCCCACTGAGCAAGCAGATGACAGGTCTGTGTAGCTCAATCTCCTCAATGGGCGGTTGGATGAGAATGGACTACCTGTCCATTTCCATCCAACCCGATCCGACGGACGGAAGGGGAATTGGATCCCCATCCATCTCTTTTTGGTGGATTGGATGTTGGCGGGTGTAAACGGACACATCTGTTTACACCGGCCACTCCATAGGGGAGAATGGAGGTTCCGATTGGATCCGTCTGAAAAATGGGCAGGCAGACCCGATCGGAACATCCATCTGAAAGAGCCCTAAAGTTCATGTGTGTGTAAAGGCAGGCGTTCCAATACTTTTGGCAATATAGTGTATATTCCTCAACAGCCACAAAAGATATAAAACCACATATGTCCAGATATTACCTTGAAAAAGTAGCAGTGACATCATCACTGTTCTGTACACAGAGCAGAGCTATGGGAGGGGCCCAGCAGGCTCCACCCACTACAGGCTGCCTGCAGGGAACTACAGGAGAGGGGGGCGGAGACAAGACCAGTCACCCTGCACAAAGAGAGAGAACAGAACTATGGGAGGGGCCCAGCAGACCCCACCCACTACAGGCTGTCTCAGGAGGGGGTGGAGACGAGACCAGTCACCCTGTACAAGGAGAGAGAGTGGAGCTGTGGGAGGGGCCCAGCAGACCCAACCCACTACAGGCTGCCTCAGGAGGGGGTGGAGACAAGACCAGTCACCCTGTACAAGGAGAGAGAGCAGAGTTGTGGGAGGGACCCAACAAGCTCCACCCACTACAGGCTGCCTGCAGAGAACTACAGGAGGGGGGGGGGCGGAGACAACCATTCATCCTGCAAAAGGAGAGAGAGCAGAACTATGGGAGTGGCCCAGCAGACCCCACCCACTACAGGCTGCCTCAGGAAGGGGTGGAGACAAGACCAGTCACCCTGTACAAGGAGAGAGAGCGGAGCTGTGGGAGGGACCCAGCAAGCTTCACCCACTACAGGCTGCCTGCAGAGAACTACAGGAGGAGGCGGAGACAAGACCAGTCACCCTGTACAAGCAGCGAGAGCAGCAGTGAGCGGTCTTTATCCCAGGAAGTCTCACGCTGGATTCCTGCACAGATCTGGAAGAAATACACAAAGCTCGATGATAAAGAAGAATGAATGTTCTATGTTTTCCTAATGGTTACATTAAGTGCTTGTATGCTAATGTTCGCACACCAAGATTCAAGAAGAATACACGACCAATGGGCTTGGATGATATTTACTGATCCATTTTGTTTCCTTAGATTCTGTAACGGAAGGCCGTTGTATAACCAAAGCCAAATCCCTGGGAGGCCCCGATGGAAGCTGACCCATGCAGCACGCTTCTCACACGTGGCTCTATATGATCAGGTACATCTGGGATTTTTCCCTACACAATTTTAAGGAGTGAAAATAAACGGGGGTGACACAGCGGCCTCCAAGAATTTGGGTCTTTTCAGGACAGGAAGGAGTCGTGTTGCTCCAGATTGGCGCTCATTAGCTGCAGTCTCAGTAGACGCGGCGTTGTTGGAGGTGATTGTGGTGGGGGGGGGAGGAGAGGGGAGTCGTCCTGTCATTTTGTATTATGATGCGGTTCTGATTCCAACGTCCTGTGATCCTGACACACATTCCGCACATCTGACACGGGGAAGCGTACCGTCTGCCAGCATCTCCAGCTGCGCATCGATTTCCATCTCCCTCTGGTTGCTATGGCAACACAGCATCCGTCCGACCTTGAAGCAGACACATTAATGCAAACAGTGGCCCCCGTTACTGCGAACGCGAGCGCATTTCCCAGAATCCCGCTGGAACAGCAGAGAACAATGTGCGAGTATGTACCTGCATCGGACTCGGGGGATAGGCAGCGCAGGCAGGAGCCTATGGGGGCAGGACGCTGTGGGGCAAAGGACTTTGCTTAGGTTTTGTTTCACATTTTTCATGTCATTAATATTAGGTATTCAGAAAATGAAGATTTCACCATGCGTAGAATTCTCCGTATCGCTGTATGTCAGACTCCATCCTGGAAGTGATTGGGCTCCTTATTATAGTTACATAGTTAGTCTGGCTGAAAAAAGACAAAAGTTCATCCAGTTCAACCATAGAAAAAAAAAAAAAATGATCACATGGTATACTATTGTAGAGTGTCTCAACTCTGTCTGCAACCCCGCCTGACCTTCTGGGATACAAGTACAACAGATATGTGTCATGCTCACCTCCCAAATTTGTCTCCAGCCTCTGGGTGCTTAAAGTCACCAGTATGCCCCAGCATCCTCTAGTGTGCCCCAGCGTCCTCTAGTGTGCCCCAGCGTCCTCTAGTGTGCCCCAGCGTCCTCTAGTGTGCCCCAGCGTCCTCTAGTGTGCCCCAGCGTCCTCTAGTGTGCCCCAGTGTCCTCTAGTGTGCCCCAGTGTCCTCTAGTGTGCCCCAGTGTCCTCTAGTGTGCCTCAGTGTCCTCTAGTGTGCCTCAGTGTCCTCTAGTGTGCCCCAGTGTCCTCTAGTGTGCCTCATTGTCCTCTAGTGTGCCTCAGCGTCTTCTAGTGTGCCTCAGCGTCTTCTAGTGTGCCTCAGCGTCCTCTAGTGTGCCTCAGTGTCCTCTAGTGTGCCCCAGTGTCCTCTAGTGTGCCTCATTGTCCTCTAGTGTGCCCCAGTGTCCTCTAGTGTGCCTCAGCGTCTTCTAGTGTGCCCCAGCGTCCTCTAGTGTTCCCCAGCATCCTCTAGTGTGCCACAGCGTCTTCTAGTGTGCCTCAGCGTCTTCTAGTGTGCCTCAGCGTCTTCTAGTGTGCCCCAGTGTCTTCTAGTGTTCCTCAGCGTCCTCTAGTGTTCCCCAGCGTCCTCTAGTGTGCCCCAGTGTCCTCTAGTGTGCCCCAGCGTCTTCTAGTGTTCCCTAGCGTCTTCTAGTGTTCCCCAGCGTCCTCTAGTGTGCCCCAGCGTACGCTAGTGTGCCTCAGTGTCTTCTAGTGTTCCCCTGTGTCCTCTAGTGTGCCCCAGTGTCTTCTAGTGTGCCCCAGTGTCTTCTAGTGTTCCCCAGTGTCCTCTAGTGTGCCCCAGTGTCTTCTAGTGTTCCCCAGTGTCCTCTAGTGTGCCCCAGTGTCCCTCTAGTGTGCCCCAGTGTCCTCTAGTGTGCCCCAGTGTCCTCTAGTGTGCCTCAGTGTCCTCTAGTGTGCCCCAGTGTCCTCTAGTGTGCCCCAGTGTCCTCTAGTGTTCCCTAGCGTCAAGTGTGCCCTAGCATTCTCAAGTGTGCCCTAGCGTTCTCTAGTGTGCCCCAGCGTACGCTAGTGTGCCTCAGTGTCTTCTAGTGTTCCCCTGTGTCCTCTAGTGTGCCCCAGTGTCTTCTAGTGTGCCCCAGTGTCTTCTAGTGTTCCCCAGTGTCCTCTAGTGTTCCCCAGTGTCCTCTAGTGTTCCCCAGTGTCCTCTAGTGTGCCCCAGTGTACTCTAGTGTGCCCCAGTGTACTCTAGTGTGCTCCAGTGTACTCTAGTGTGCCCCAGTGTCTTCTAGTGTTCCCCAGTGTCCTCTAGTGTGCCCCAGTGTCCTCTAGTGTGCCCCAGTGTCCTCTAGTGTGCCTCAGTGTCCTCTAGTGTTCCCCAGTGTCCTCTAGTGTGCCCCAGTGTCCTCTAGTGTGCCCCAGTGTCCTCTAGTGTGCCCCAGTGTCCTCTAGTGTGCCCCAGTGTCCTCTAGTGTGCCCCAGTGTCCTCTAGTGTGCCCCAGTGTCTTCTAGTGTGCCCCAGTGTC